ATCTCGGAGTCCTGGGATGGAGCCCTGTGTTGGGCTCCCAGCTCAGTGGGGAGCCTGCTTCTCCCTCTTCCTCTGACACTCCGCCTGCTTGTGCACATGGTCTCTCTCTCAAATGAATGAATAAAATCTAAAAAACAAACAAACAAAAAAAAACAACCAAGTAAGAAAATAAACAGTTGACTACTATGGACAGAAAGGCTGGTTGAAGAAGGCCTTCCCCTTTGTGTCCAATCACCTCCTTCTTACGTGAAAAGGAGAAAAGCTACTGTGTGTGTGTGTATGTGTGTGTGTGTTCCGCACCATGTATACTCTGTGGCTTGACTCTAATTTCTCTTCTTGGCTGTTGGCAAATGGCACAGAGTGGAAGGTCAGCCTCTCATGAGAAGAACAGAGTGATTAGACAGCAAGACTGTTAATTAGAATGCTAAGACTGCAGTGGGGCACCGTCTTACTGATAAGCTGTGTGAAGGTAGCTAAAATTGGGAAAAGCTAGAGAGAAACCATGTGGAATATTTTTGGTGCCAAAATCTCTAATACCCTGAAGAAAAAAAAAAAGCCAAGTGTCAACCCCAAAAAGGATTTAAACTCTAAGGAAAGACACAGGGTGAATTCGAGTTTAAGCTGTGAGTGAGTGCCAAGATTAGATTAAGTGGTGAATGATGACTGCTAAAGGTAGTAACAAGGTATATGCATTTCTTTAGATCTTGCTCTAAATGCTGTAATCAATTTTTATCTATAATAATTTGAGATGAATTGTTATGCTTTGTTAACTTAATGAAGTATTCTATTTCTATAGAAAAAGTATGGAGGTGTGGAAAAGCATGTTAACTTCTTTCTCAATTGTGGGAAACGTTTTGTTCCAACCTAGTCACATCCAAGGCCGCGTCTGCCCTAGGAGCAGCCAGCAAAAATGGTAGTCATAGTTATGAGGGGGAAGATCCATATGTGCAAACTCCAAAACCCAAACCTACAGAAAGGTAGCAAGCAAGTTTTTTGGAGGAATGAGAGACAGTGAGAAGGGCCACAAAGGTGCCCAGAGCCCGCGGAGCCAGAAATCCTGCCCTGCATCTCTGATAGGTGGATGGAGCTCTGGAGACAGGGCGATGACTTTTGGCCTAGACATCAACTGAAAAGTTGGTGAGACCTTGAATATACCATCCTTTTTGTCTAGATGCTTCTTGTCCACACCACAGGGCCAAATGCTTTCATTTCCAAACTCCTTCCGTCCTGTTCCTGCTCCTGCTGATGTCACATGGTCTAAACTATTAAGGACCAGGAAGGGGGCCCTGTTAAGAGAGTTTTCCCCTTAGTGTCAGAAGATGGTAAACTGATTTCCAGAAGAGATGCCTTGGAAACTTGACATACAGTGCAAAGGGTGAAGGCAAAACCCTTCCTAATCAAAAAGAAAGATGTTTGGAGGACAGGCAGGGGCATGCAAGTGTAGGGTGAAAGCACTCGAAACAACAGCATTGGGAGTGAATCACAGCCCCCCATTTCCAAGCTGCTTGTTCGTGGTATTAGTTACCTAAACTCCCTGAACATCAGTTTTGTCATTCTCATCATAGGAGTCCAAAGTACCTACTTCTTGTTGTTGCAAGGAGTAAATTTAATAATTTATATAAATCTCTTGGTATGAAGTTTGGAACACAGTGAGCATTAAGTAAATGGTAGCCACTGTTGGTAGCTATTATTGTCAGGCCTAACTTACGGTGCCAGATATGGAAATGCCTGTGCAATCTGCCTCCAGCCTACCTACATATCTTGTCTCCTGCCATTCACTCATTCCTTCATCCCTGTAGTACATATTCACCATGAACATGCACCAGATTCCAGCCAGGTCTATGCCTGTTTCTTCTCCTCATTCTCACCTTTCTTCTTACCATGCTTCAGAACGAATGCCCCTTCCCGTGCTTTCATCTCATCCGGAGGCTCAGTGTAAGTCCAATTTCCTCCCTGAAGCATTTTAGCTATTTCTGTTCACTTCAGGCTCTACCCTTCTCTGAATCATTACTGGAATTACTGTTTGTGTTATAGAGATTAGTGCTGGGTTATATAGAAAAGAACTTTCTGTGATGACTGAAATATCCTATACATGTGTTGTCCAATAACAGTAGCCACTAAGTTTATGTGACTATTGAGCATTTAAAATGTGGCTTGTGTGGTTGAAGAAGTTAACTTTTAATTTTATTTAATTTTAATTAATTAAACTTTACATTTGAATGGCCACCTTGGCCCAATGAGTCAACCATCTACTCTGACAAAAGCTCTTGTGAGAGGTGATATTTGTGTGTTCCACTGGTGTCCTTGGGTCTTCCCGAAGTGTCACCTTTTGCCCATAAAGAAATCAAAGGATGGATTTAGGGGAAGACAAAAGATAAGGGATAGAGGGGCAGTGCTCCGTCAGAGGGGGTTGGCGTGAGCTAGGCTGAAGTTGGGGTGAATGGGACCCAGTCTGATGCCTCCTATCTTTTACGAGTAATCCTGTAGAATTGGCTGCACTGTTCAGCAGGACATACAGGAGTCCCACCCTGGTGATATGGCAGGCCTTGCAGCTTTACATATGAGGGAGGATTCTTGTGGAGTCCCTGCAGTCAGTGCGGGGGCATCCCACTTGGCCTGGACCAGGCCTCTGCTTGACCCATCCTTCCTGACCTAACCCTTCCCTGAGAATCCTCACCCTGCCACTCAGCTCTGGCTCCTGATTTCAGACTCCTCAGAGCTGCTTCAGACTACTCTGTCTATCTTGAGTCTATTCTTTTGTTTCCCAACAGTCCATGAAATTTTAGAGATCACGGGCCATGTCGAGAAGATGATGAATGCTATGGACACTCTTAGAAAAATGCCCATGGCCACATTCATATGTAGTTTTGCATACTGTTTCAGCACTGTCACAGATGCCTTGAAACCCAGGCCTAGATCTGAGACCCTTGGTTAAGAACACTTTCTTTCATCTGACCTTAGAAGTTCCATATACTGTTCCTTCCTCTCTCAGCTCAGCTCTAACTAATTCTGTACTCACTGGGTAATGTTTTGATGACTGGTTCAAGGCTCTAGTTACCTTAATAACAGGAACAGTCACTCTAAATAGCTATGAAGAGTATTTCAGTCACTATAAATATCTATCCCCATTGGTAGATTAATAGATTGGCATTATGGCTTATAAATCCTCCCTCCCCCCTTGCCAAAGAGTTTTGAGAGCCTGATTGTATCTAGGTGAGACAGTAAAATTCATAAAACACCAGTGCTGAGCTTCAGACTCTAGACCGAGAGTGCCCTTGCTCCCCTTCCCCTCATCATTTCCAGTTAATTAGAGGTTTCCAGCTCTGAACCTGTCATGTAGTATCATTTCTACCCTCAGTTGAACTTTGAATTTGCACTTCTCTAACTCATCTGGGCTTGCTTTTGATCTGATCCCCTATCTCCTAGAACACAAAATTGTTGAGTTAGAGGACACCTTGAGACCCAAGGAGGGAAGTGGTTGGTCTAAGCTTCCATAGCTATAACCCAGCTGACTCCTATTACAGTTCAGTCCCTCAATTTCTCCATGATCTATGGGTGATTTGTCCTTGAGTTTTGGATAAAATGACTTAGGAAGTAGAGCCTGTATCATATGTGTAGGGAGACCTCATTGTGTGCCTTGGATATATTCTTGCAAATTTGATAATAAAGTGAATTTCACTAAATCATGCATTTTATCATGTCTTTCAAAGATTAGAGATGTATTCCTCCTGTAAAACCTTTCAAGTTTGGGTATACACTTGGATATAATGGAAAAAACTATGCACTTAGAGGGAAAAGAATTTTCTGATGAAATATTAAAATACTGTTCAGAATAAACCAACAAATATAAAGTGTGAGACAACAATCTTTTTGTTTAGAGGAAGATACTGCTTGTCTATTTCTTTAAATTTAATATGTATTTTTTTCTATCCACAGGTAAATATTCCTTTTGAAAAGCTCAAACTTCTATTTCTTCTTTTTGAAGGGCTTATCTTGCATGATCACTATTAATTGTTTATTTAAGCCTTGATTAACTTGCTGCAATGTTTGCTTAGTATCTTGTTTAAATTCTTTATCATTAAGAGTCAGTTTTCCTGATGGCATTATTAAGATTTATTATTTCTGAAAGTATGAATTTCTCTGTAGTGAGGTTTCTATAAATAGAATACACAAAGAAAGAAGCCGTCATTTTGGTTTTTACAAGCCATAGGATAGTTTTTTTTTCCTAATTTAATTAAAAAACTCAAAAAGGTTGTATGAGATAACATAAAGTCTTGGATTTGTTAGAAAGAAAGTCTAATGTCAGTTTTCTTTCCTCAGCCCCTTGCCATGATCATCTTCCCTCTGGCCGACTCGATCCCACTCCTGCGGCCAGTACATCCTGTACTATAGGTGATTCGGGAGGAAGAAGAGCTTAAACAAATGAGCTTCAGAGACACTCCTTAAACTTTATATCAATTAATCATTCCAGCCTGCTCCTCCACTAAACTTTTAACTAGAGCAGCTAATAGGAGGCAAACGGATGGGTTTGAATTTCATCTCCTCTTGTTTTCTCTGCTCACTCTCTGGAAAAGGGGCTAATGAGCAGTGAAATGGCCGGGCATGCTACGTCAGAGCAGGGGAGTGCCTGCCTGTGGAGTCGGCCTGCTGTGTAATCGGCTCCTGAATTATTGCAAGGTGCCCTGTGGTTTTATGAAGGTGTCTGAAATGGCCAGGATCCAATGTGGAGGGGAGTAAGGAGAAAAGATGGTGTTCCCATTGGCACGGTGTCCACTTTGTCCGTTGGACTAGAGCCGTACCCCTAAAAGAGCCTCCTTAGAGAAAAAAATAATAGAAGGCAAATGTTGGTTTACAAAAATGTAACAAACCTGTTCATGTTTACAATACAGATGCTTACACTGTTTAATCTAATAACAAGCTGTTGCCTAAGCATCTTTCAGAGGGTAATTAAAAGGCTCCTAGATGCACCGAAACCAATTATATTAAAATTTTATTTGTAGGGAGTCCAAGACTTAAGGTAAAAAAATCAGAATTCATAACCAAGCTGAAGAAGTCTTCCTACCATTGACAACAGAGATGCTGCTGAGGAGATCCCAATTAGAGACCAGGGCTCAGTTACAAAGGTGAGGACCTCAAATCAGCTTTCCTCTGAACCAACCCACCATTACTTTAATGAGGAAGTATGGAAGGAAAAAGTTCACTATTGCAACATTACTAAGTAGAAATTAGAAGAAAAGACTGGTTATTCTTTTGGGAAAAAAGGCCACAGAAATGGCATGGGCCTACCTGAAGAAGTTTCAGTACCAGCAAGGAAAGGAAAGCCAAAGTATAGAGGATTCTGAGAAGATGCATTTTTCTGGAGGGCTGTATTCTTCAGGCACCATGAATGAATCAGGTCATGTTTGCTCTTTGCCCCCAGATCCACCAGGTCAATCCGGTTGTCCCAGCTGAATTGCAGAAGAAGTGCATCAGGATATCCAGCTGCTCATTCTGAGACTGCCACCGACTGGCTGTGTGCGGTCACTTTCCTGCTCTGAGCATCAGTTTTCTAGGATCTGTAAAGAGAAAGGAACACTTTTAGGCCTAAAAAGGGTAAATCCTGGGTGCCTGGGTTGCTCAGTCAGTTAAGCATCTGCCTTTGACTAAGGTCTTGATCTCAGAGTCCTGGGATCGAGCCCCGCATCAGGCTCCTTGCTCAGCGGGGAGTCTGCTTCTCCCTCTTCCCCTGCCCCTCCCCCTCCCCATTGCTCCATGCTCTCTCTCAAATAAATAAATAAAAACTTAAAAAAAATTAAAAAGGGTAAATCCTGCTGTAAGAATACTTGGGATTCAGAAAATGCTTACTCCTCTAACTGCCAGGTGATCTGGAGAATGCTATCAGTCCTTGAAACCCTCTGTCATTCACAGGTACTAGTTTCTTCTTATTGTAGTTGGAGTTATGGAGGGTCAGGGGGGGTTAAGTGGCAGGCACAGGTGATCTTTTCACCTTTCAGAGGAGGATGCAGAACTGTGCTGCTGACTTTAGACCTGAGCTTAAGCCATTCAGGCCAGAATTGTATGGAAAATGAGTCTGAAGGAGTTAATTTTGGTGTTTTCCTTAATTAACTACATCAAATCAACTCAGGCATATGGGTCTTTTGCTTACCCAAACGACTCACTAGGTCTCTTGGCCTTTTGTTCTTTGACCAGAGTTCATCAGCAGTAGCTGTAGCCAAAGAAACCATGGTGGGAGAGATGATGCCATCCTTTGCTACATCTGTGGGGAGCAGGGTGTGTGAGGTGAAGGCCTGCGTATGTGGGGAAACTTCATGTGTCACAAACCTCCTTTCTGGGAGGACTTCTTGACACCCATTCTCCACAGTCCCAGCCGGGGCCATCTCTAATGTCTGTGTGAAAAGATGCACTGAGCTGAAAAACTGGGGCTCTTTGCCTAGATCGTCTTTGCCTGGTAGCCCTCCTCCATGTTTCTTGGCCCCACCTGTGGTGACGGCCACAAGTCAACATTCTCACTCTGGCTCTCTGCCTCACAAATGGCTCTGAAGGTCCCTGGGAGGGACCTCAGGTATGATGAGCACATAGGCATGGGTGCTTTCACTACAGTCTCTCTCCACCTCTGACTCATAGGATGCTGAATCTTATTATTGCACTAGATCTTGCTATAGGTTCCTCAACCTGGAATTGAGGACCATTGAGTGTGTCACCTCTGACTGCAATCTGTTACTCAAAGCCAAGCTTCTGTAGCTCCTTTCTCTCTTTTCTCAGCACAGGGCTTACTCTAGAGGGTCCTTAGTTCTCCACACGAATAGACCCCTCATGTTTGAGTCTTCAGGCTCACCCCCATGAATTCAAGATATGGAGTCAAAGCTAGACTACAAGCTCTTGATAGGGGGGTCCATGATACCCAATGACAGAAGGGAGAACCTTCAGTTACCTCGCTGCTCCTCACACTGTTAAGTTCTCCTATTATGGGAGAGTAGGGAAAGAGGTCCCCAATTCCGTGGCCTTGCTGCTCTCCCATAATACAACCTAGGCTCCCTTTGACCAAAGTGAAAGGTGGATAATGTGCGTTTTGTTATGAGGCTCTCATTTTTTTCTGCTTCTGCAATCCTTTAATGCCTGAGGGGTGATGTGTCCCTAATTTCCACCCATCTGCCAGGATTCTCAATGGTGCTGCCTGACCTGGCATGACTGCCATAGACAGGACCCTGTTCTGTGAGCCTCTCCTCTTCTTTTCTTTCCCATCAAATTTTACCCATGCAGGGTGCCATTCCATCAAGAGCTGACCTTTTCTGGAAAATGAGAAACCACTTTATGCTGAGATGTCCAATAATGATAATAACTTTGTCCTATCTCTTCAGTTGGCTGGTCCTGATGGAATATGGTCAGAGCTGACAGTTGATACCCACCTTTTGGGTTTCAGGATTGAAGACCAAGAGCCTTGCCATGAGCATGAAAAGGACAGCTCACCTGGGAATGGGTGGTGCCCCTCTCTGTTGAGACAACTGACAGGCAATCCTTCACATACCTCTTCACCATTCTCCAGGGATCCTTATAAACAAAACTTATGGTTGGATGACTGTTTAGACCCCAGACCATGCTGCCTCCCTGAAAAAGGCAATTTTTCCTGATGATATTTAAGATAATACACCATTGTCTGTCTGTCTTTTAGAGTAAAGAAGGCCGACAGAAGAAATCAAGTCTGGGATTCATTCAGTAGACAACAGAGGAGCTGAAGGTGGATATAAGAGAATTAAGATGGTGACCCATGAAGCCATGGAGGAAGGAGAAGTAGGTGAGGATGCAAGCAGACAGAGGAGAGCATTGGAAATATTTGACCCCAGTAATTTTAGGGATATCTGGGTTAGAGGCATAGAGAAGTTTAAGAAGTAAGGCAAGTGGGTGGAAGGAAAGGTACTGAGTGGGTTGGAATGAATGTTCTCCTTGAAGGAGCCAAGGTTAGGATCATTGTTGGGAGTAAGAACTAGGGCAATGGTATTCCTGTGGAAGCTCTGGATGCTTACACCCACAGTTGTCCGTGTTGAGCAGATGGAAGAAGGGATGACTGAAAGGATGAATGAATACTGCCAGGATATGCTCTGAGCTTACAAAGACTCGTTGGGTGAGTCAGAGTTATTAATATAAATAGTTACAGTGGCAACAATATGTCCCAGTGACAGTCCTATTTTAAAAATTAACTTTAAAATCTATTTTAAAATGTTGTTCTGAATTCTATGTATGTTCTCTTTTGCATTCCTTTGAGGACTTGAGTCTGTTATTTACAGTGTTTATTACTTTTAAGCATATGGGAATACATATGATGTCTGTCCACTTTTTTCTAGAGCTAGTAAACATACTGGGAACAGGACCAGTATGATCATATTCACTCTGCCATTGACCTTGTGCAGGCTCTCCAAGGTCAGTAAGGTGGTTGGATTTTTGTCAGAATTGACTTGTTTTCAGCAGGAGCTGGGTCTCCTGCCTACTAACATTTGTAATCTTTCTTTACTATCTAGCCTGCTGTAAAATTACTAGTACAGTTTCCCCAGGCAATGACTCTGTGATTTTCTACTTTTTTATTGATCAATAAACAGTTTTAAACCAAAAAATCCCATAGTGAGAATAAAAACTTATTTGGTACTTGTAACTACCTGCCTTGGAGACGAAAGAGGGATTGGAAAGATAAGAGCCTCAGGCTCCTGCTTCCTTTTTGATGCCAACACTGCTAGAAAAATGCAGCCACAGGTGAATAAAAGAACGGTTGTCTACACTATGCTAAATAACTGATTGTTCCCCCCCCCCCCACCGAAACTGACCCATTGTTTCCATGACCCCTGGATATATGCATCACCCTCTGTAAACATCAAGAAGGTTTTGACTGTGGCATTCACTGCTGTTTTCCTCTTGCCAAGCACAGTACCTGGCATAGAGTTAGTGTCCAGGAAACATTTGTAGAATAAATGAATAAATACTATAGCGATCAGGCTTGGGAATAAGAGGGTAAATTTATCCCTCTGTTGTATTGAGATTGTTTTCCAGTAACTTCCTTCCATAAGTCTGATCTCTCCAGGTTCACTTAAGGGGAGACCCTAAGCCCTATGTGTTTTCTATTCTTTGTGGCAACAAATGTAGTTTTATGATCATAGAACTACCTCTAGGTAGTCATGACTATGTCTCCAATGATTATCGCTTTTTGTCGTCCTGTTTGTCTCCTTTCGGTTTTGTTTCTGGATAAGCAGAATTTTGAAATAAATTTAGAAAGTAAAGCACTATTTTTTTTTTTAGTAAAACCAAATCAATAACCACTTAAGGATAACAGAAAATTTGTGATTTGAATTTGAAAACTGCCACATTTTGAAGCCTGGGAGAGGTTTCCTCTCACATTTGTTGATATCATTTGTTTTATCCAGGGAGTGTTAAGAGGTAGGATGAAGTGAAAGCGTGCTTTTTGGGGAAGCAGTGTTGTGTCATTTTGCTTCCCTGATGAGAAATGTTGAGAAACAGTCGACTTCTTGTTTTCCTGTTTTCCATGGTAACATCACCTGACCTGTTGTCTGTATAATGTTCATAACCCAGGGATGGCAAATTCAGTGATGACATGGAAAAGGTAACAGGAAAAAAGGAAGGACATAAGAGCTAGTTTGTAGTTCATCAAATGTTCCTCAAATAAAAATTCACCAAACAGGGAATCATGGACAGCGGGACCTACGAGGACCTTGGGAATCTCTATTTCAATCTGCTCATTTTACACACAAGGAAACATCCAGAGCAGCTCATGACTGTCTGAAGTCACATGGTGAGTGAGGGGCAGAGCCCTCTCACGCTGGACCCTGGCCATGATTTTGAATAAGGATCTCAACCCCTGATTGTCCTCTACAGTGACACCCACAGGAAACGAATATGTGTTCCAGTTACAGAGGGGAGTTCAAGTGGCGATATCCCTCTGTGCCTTTGCTGGTCACTTCTCTCCCACATGTCTTCTGCAGGTTGCCTGGTTCCTTGGACCCCGGTGGGGCCCTTTCCAGGGCATTGACAGGAAGCCTGGGGATGCAGCTGGGAGTGAGGTTCACTGCCATGAGGCACCCCAGGAAGGTTGTCCAGCTCTCCGTGTCATGGCTCCAGCCCAGCAGACCCAGTAGCAGTGAGGCATAAGGCCTTTTGCTCAGCCAACTGATGAAAACTCTGTCCTTTTCAAAATGTCCCAGAAAGCCAAAATAACTCCTATTTCCCACGCGACGTTAGAGCAGATTTATGCCCCTTTAAGAACACATGTGGTGTAAAAGATGAAGGGAGAGAGGGCCTAAAGTTTTACATATGGCACCAAGGTAATCCTAGCCGAGTTGGCTTCTCTAAGGAGAGCGCCTGCAGGGTATAATTAGAACAGAGATAGCCATCCCAACAGATCTATACTTGAGCAAATCGTGGCTAAGACAAAATTGGAACCAAGGCTAAATTTATCAATAACAGGGTTTAAAAAAAGGAAAAGAAGACAAATGAAGTTGAAATTTCTCCTTGTTTATTTTAATGTGCAGAACATTTTCTAGCTGATTTATGCCACAACTTCAGTGTATTTTTCATTTTTTATTTATTTTTCAGTTAATTGGATTTCCAGGCATTGCAGCCAGCCACGGCAATTGATCCCTGAAAAGATGGATTTATTGCTTAGACAGGCAGAATTCTGACAATCTTCAGAGGATGGAAAATAAAAGAAAACAGCCCATACACAGAGCACGGTGGGTCACCATCAGGTCAGACCAGGAAGATATGTTACAGCTGGCAGGTTTGTGCTAGAACTTCAGGACGAGTAATCTTCTCACTAAATGGGCAGCACCAGGACCCAATAGAATTTTTTGTAGGATATTGTCAGTGATCCATGCTTAGGAAGAAACATAGTCTAGGATGGAGACCCCAAGGTAGATGTTAGGTCCCAGACCGATTGGACCCATGGTTGGAAAATTGAGTAAATTTGAAATAGCTCACACCTTTGGTGGTTTTGTCTGGAATGAGACCTTATTTTGCCTGGTGGGTGACTCTGTTGGAATGCCATAATGGCTCATGGTGCAGAACTAATATGGAACTCATGCCTTAAGCTACTGTTTGCAGAGGGTCCTGGAAATTTGCCAGTTGAGAAGCACCAGAACACTGCTCTCAGCTCTGCAAAAGTCTGACATCCATCTGACCATTCACCCATCCATCCATATAATAATTTTTTATTGAGTCCTTACTATAGGCTAAGCACTTTGTTTGGTGGTAAACATAGAGGAATGGATAATAAAAAAACAGAGTTCCTATGCTTCTGAAACTTACAGCCTATTGGGCAAATAATTACAGGTTTGCTGAGAGTTAGCAAAGAGGGGTTTAGGGAGCTGCAGGAGTGTATTACTGATGGACCTACCCTGGTAGGGGCTGGGGAGGGCTTCCAGGAGAAAATGCTGTGAGCTGAGACCCGAGAGACTGGATATCCCAATGGACAATGGTCAGACCAAATGTAAAATAGAACTCTGACTCACAATCTGCAGCAACTAGCCAACCCATCATCTACAGCAACCAAGCTAGGCAGCCAGCCTGCTATCTGTAAGTCAAGCTATAGAAAAACCACCATCTCTAGCAACCAGCCCAGGAAAGCCAAACAATAACCCCAGTAACAATTGGCTGGGACTTGATTAATAAGTAACAGTTTCTCTAATTTCTATCCCTACTTCCAACTTAGGATCAACCAGAGAAAGCCAAATATGTACCCTTAACCAGTCACATAGGATGCTCCCACTTAAGGTTTCTCATACCAATAGCTTCTAGTCAGGGTACACCTGAAGCCTTCTCTTTGCATTATGAAACTTTCCCACTCCTCTGCCTGCCTTTGAGTCTGCCAAAACTCAAGTGATCGTGGCTGAGTCCCTTGATGTAGTAAGCTCTGAGTAAATACCCTTTGCTTGTTCTCATTTGGTTGGTCTTTGTTTATTCCACAAACCTGAATGAAGAATGAGTGTGTGTGGGCCGGGCAGTAGTGGGGAAAAGAGTATTCCAGGAGAGGGAACAGCACATGCAAAGACCCTCAGACAAGGATTAAGGTATATTCTTCAAACTGGACAGTCAAACATGACCAAAATGTGGAGGATGAGGGAGAGACTGGCATGAGCTGTAGCTGGGGATAAGGTTTGGGGTGAGAGGTTGAAATCATGTAGGGCCTTGTGAGCTGTGTTGATGATTTTGGCCTTTACCCTAAACAGAGCCTCATTTATAACCGATGCATGGGGTTTTCCTCTTAACTAGAACTGCTCTGTAGCCCCCATCTACTGCTCTTTATGTGAGCTCCTAGTTCTTATCTGAGGGCCTACCTGCTTTGAGACCTCCTTGTTTTCTGTTAGTCCTTTTTGTGAGGCAGATGTGCAGGCAAAGAGATATTGCTGTGTAAGTCCCTGCTAATTGTCAGGACCAGCTCCCTTGACCTTCTGGGCAGAGGTGAAGTAAGCCCTAGCTTGTCCAAGCTCCTTTCTGGGACTGTGCCCAGCAGAGTCTAGGGAGAAAGGTCAATGTAGCAGAGACTAAGAATTATCCCCATATCTGTTCTCACCTTCATCTACAGTGATAGAACATATGGCCAACGAGATTAGAGAGATTTCCCAGTCTTCTGTGCAGCTCATTAATAGGCTTTTTGTCCAAGGTCAGGTCAATGGGATGTGAGGAGAAGTGATATATGCATTCTGGGACATGCACTCAAAAGGAACAGGGCATGCCCTTCCCTCCCTGCTGGCTGGATTGTAGAGGTGGTACTGGGGAGCCATTTGAGACCATGTGTACCAAGGATGGCAGAGCAACCAGAAAGAGTGCCATGATTGATGGGGACTGCTTATATCTGGAAGTTTAGGCAAGATAGAAGTAAATGTTATCTTTTCTAAGTCGCTGTTATTTCATTCCCTGCAACCACAGGTGACCTATATCTTAATTCAGCAGTTTTCAATGTGTAGTCCCAGAACCCATGGGAGGGATCTCTGAGACTCTTTCATGAGGCTCACAAGGTCAGAACTACTTCATAACAATATTGAAACTTTATTTGCCTTTTTCACTTTCATTCTTTCACAAGAATATAGCTGACTTTTCCAGAGGCTACATGATGAGAAATATCATAACAGATTGAATGCAGAAGCTGATACACTAATATAAGCCAGATATTAAAGAGGTTTGCAAGAGTAAAAAAAAAAAAAAAAAAATCAGTGCCACTCTTCTCAATAAGTTTTTTTGAAAATATAGTTTTTTAAAAAAGTATGTTTACATGTTTTTTTTTAAACAAGTTAATGAAGAAACATTTAAAAACTTCTCCATTTTACTTTGTAATGGTAAATATGGAAAGATATAATCCACTTATACAAAAGCACTTTGGGGTTGTCAGTAACTTTTAAGAGTGTAAAGAAGTCCAAAATGTTGGAGAACCACTGCCCTAACTAATACAGGTAGCTTGACCTTTCCTGTTGATGAGCAGTTACCAGCTCTATGTCCCATGCACCTCTTATTTTGGGGATCATCTCAAGTAGTCATCCTCTTTCTTCTTTCTGCACCACTTCTGATCCCTTCTCTCTTGGTGTCCTTTGACTATCCAGGAACTGACTTCATTTTATATAGAATTGACTGGATATTTCATACACCCACTCAATAATGAAGCCCTTAATATGGGCTAGTGATTGCACTTGGTGTGGGGGTCAAGGACAACGAGAAGAACATGGTTGCTACTTTGGCTTGGCTCATAGTTTAGCCGTGGAAAGAGGCACTCATCGGCACAATGGTAGATTGTATAGGGCAGGGAGGTGACGCACGGAAGGGGATGATCAGCTCTTCCTAGGGGGAAGTGGGGACAGTGGATCAGGAAAGTTTTAGGGCAGAGATGACTTTGAGGGAACATGAAAAAAGAAATATGAAGTAGCGAATTTATATGCAGGGAGTGTAAGGAGGGGGAAGAACACCCAGGCAGAAGAAAGAGCAGGGGCAAAGGCACTGTGACTCCATGGGGCAGGGTGTTTTTAGAAAAGTCCAAGTGGTTTGTTATGGGATGAGAAGCTGGAAAGGAGCCAGAACCCATTAAGTAATCATAAACAGCTTGGCTTTTATTCTTAAGACAGTAGGAAATCATGGAATAATTTTAGGCATATTTACCTTTAGAACTGTAGCAAAGGTTCTTCAACTTGTTTGGGGGCTCTGTTCACTTCTTTCCAAGAGATGCTGCTATGCTTGGCATGGATGGTAGGTGAGGTCTCTCTAGAGAGAACCCTTTTTCAGACTCATAACAGTCCATTAACAACCCCTCCATTTTTGAGCGAGGTGGGACAAAGGATCCTGAGTATGGATGTCAAGTTATGTGTCCTTTTAATTGCTCCGTCCGTGTGGAGCCCCAGGCATCAGGGTCTATACTCTAGAGAGGGAGGGGCTATATAATAATTAGAGAGAGCTATTTTTACCTGTAATTATGACAACTTAGAAGTTATAACTCATTATAACTTTATGTTTGTAACTAATTATAATATTTTTGACACTTAATATAGGCACTCTTTATGCATGCAGCATGTATAAATGCATGTAATCCTCACAGCAACCCCTTCAGGTAGGTCCTTCAGGTATTATGCCCCTTTTTATGATAGGGTATTGAGGCACAGAGAGTTTATGGGATTAAGCACTGCAGCCTAGACCCTGAGGCTGCACTCTGGACTAGGACCCTGCAGTGCCTTCTGTCAGGAGCAGGGGACTCCATGTAACAGGCTGGGGGACCTGTAAGAGGCTGGAGGTCCTGCAGGTAAGTTCATTACTGAAAGAACTTTTACCTTCTCACCAAGGTCAGAGTGACTGGAGAACTTTTACCTTCTCACCAAGGTCAGAGTGACTGGAGAACTTTTACCTTCTCACCAAGGTCAGAGTGACTGGAGAATACATGGGTTAGAAGCCTGACCAGCCATTTCAGCATTACCTGGGAACTTGTTAGAAAGGCAAATTCTTGGGCCTTGCCCCAGACCTACTGAATCAGAAACTCTAAAGTTGGGGCCCAGCAGACTGTTTTTAGCAATCCCTCTGGGTGGTTCTGATGCATAGTAAAATTTGATAACTGCTGGATTAGAGATAAATCCCTGGGTGGGGCTGGCGAGGGTATGGAGGGAGGGGTGGAGAATAATTGAAAGGAAAGACTCGGAGCCAAAAGCTCTTTTCTGAAGCTGTTGCCATCACCAGAGTAAGAAATCAGAGCCTAAGACCAAATCCTCAACCTGGGCTGCACTTTAGAATCATCTGGGGAACTCTAAAAACATATCAGTGCACTGGCTTCACCCCAAGCCTATTAGATCAGAATCTCTGGGGGGATAGAACCCTGCCATCAGTTTTTAAGAAAAATTTCCCCAGGTGATACTAATGTGCAGCCAGGGTTAAGAATCAGTGGTTCTCAAACTTGAAGATGCATCAAAATCTCCTGGAGGGAGATTCTGTTAAACAGAAGCTATTGAACTCCACTCCCAGAGTTTTTGATTCAGTAGGTCTGGGCTGGAGCCGGAAGATCTATATCTCTCACAAGTTCCCAGATGATGCTGATACTGCTGGTCCAGGGACCATAGTTTGGGAATCACTGTCTTACATTTTCACCAGTAGCCCAAACAAGGTTAGGCAGAACAGAGGCTCTGGGAACCAAACCTAGAACAGGAGATGGAGGGTGCCCTCCTTCTGCAGTTAGCTGGGCCAAGCCAATGTGCCAATGTGATATGATTTATCTTGCTGAAGATGTGAAAAATTTTAGTTAATTTCCTAGATATTTTTGCCTGCTAGACATGTCTGTTACTTAAAGTTTTAGACCTAAAATTTGTTTTTCCCCAATTACAGTGGCTGCTTGAGATCTGATAAAGAAAGCCTAATTTTCAGACTCTCTTGGTTTTGCTCCTTAAAGGATTTCCCTTACATGTGAATTTGCAGAAAACAAGTGCTCTGAGGGAATGCTAAGGTTTGGGTTATCATTTGAGATCTGTAGTCAGAAATCAGGCTTTTAGAACGTTCATAGTTACGGGGTATTCAATATAATACTCATTGCTCAAACAACTTCTGAAAATAGTCCAAGGCAATTTAACTTTTATTCCCTCTATAGAGCTTGTCACCATTTATTAATCTTAATTTCCCTCAGCATCGCATATCAGATGAGAGACCGATTTTTCTCCTCTGTTTCCATAACATTAATATTTAAATGGCAGAGTGTGACACTCATAAACAGCTATGGAGGAGTGGGGTGATATTTCTAGGAAGGGAAACCTAGACTAAGTGCCACATGAAGGCCTTTTCCTTAAAAATGCCCAAAACAAAGCCAAAAAAACATGCAGGTGCACCTTGAAGTACAGAATAGAAAGATAAAGAGGCATTGCCTGTGGAATGAATAATATTATGTAAAATGAATAACACTCTTTCAGAGACTTCCATTATAAAACTGAAGCAGCACTGGGGAGGTAGAGGTGGAAGGCTGTGCAGGTGGAGATGTTGGCAGAAATCTTTGTACTTTGAACGCTAATGCAACGCACAGAAGAATCCAAAGCACGTTCTCTGCTTGGTTTGTGGCTCCAGGAGGGAATTCAGTTTTATTACTCTAGATATCTATTTGGCATCAGTTATGTGCTAGGCTCTGGGCTACAGGTGGTAGGGACACCAAGATGGATGAGGTACAATCTCAGCCTTCAAGCAGCTGGTCGAGAGGATCAGGCATAAGCCCAAGTCCCATGAGACATGTGCTAAGGAATGATGTAAACAAAGTGGTAGGCCACATCACCGGGGGCAGAAGGGGGATTAGGAAGGCATTGAACGGAGTTTTGAAAGACAGGATTCTTATCAGGGAGCAGTACTGATTCACTGTACATTTCCAAAGAGTTCATTGAGCCCCTACCTTATGTCAGGCACTACACTGGGTTCTGGGGATGTAAACGTGAATAAGATTTGTTCTTGCTCTCAAGGAGTGGAGAAAACAGGCAAGGTAAATTATAGTAGGGCAAAGGCTTCCTGGAGAAAGCGATGTCTAGGCTGAGTCCTAAAGGGTGTGTGGGGGTTAACCAGAAAAAGATGGAAGGAAGTAGGGAAGGGAAAGTGCACTATTCAGAGAGGGAACAACAGGTGTGAAACCTTGAAGAGAGAGCGTACCAAACATTTGTGGAACTGCAAGGCCCCGGGATGGCCAGAGCATAGAGTGTTAGAACACAGAGAACAGGAGATGAGGCTGACGTGGCATGGGGGCCAGATCAAAAAGGGCCTAGCTTTTAGACATTTGCCCATGCAAAGGGTTTAGGCTTTTTCTATAAATCATGGGGAACCATTAGAGGATTTTAATATGGGCACCGTCTGACCAGACTTAGAGTTTAGAGAGACTGGCATGGAAGAGGATTTGGTAGAAGGCAAGGCCAGATGCAGGTGATGGTTTAGGAACTTATGGCAGCAGGACAGGTGTGACATGATGGATGTTGGTAGAGTGGGTGGAAAGAAGGGTTAGGTTAACAAACTAGAGCCAATAGGACTTGTTGACTGAGAGGGGTGTGTGGTAGGAGAGAATAAAAAATGACTCCATGTTTTTTGGTATGGGCCAGCATGGTGGTAGCTCCATTAGAAAGTTGGAAAATAAAGGAAGAGCAGGCATCAGTTGAGAGATGAGACTAGATGAAGAGTTAAGGGCACATTGAGTTTGAGGTGCTTGTGGAACATTCAGATCAAGAGACCAAAATTCAGAGTTGAATACATGAATCAGGATAGAGATCTAGATAGTGACTGAGGCCGTGAGAGTAGAAGAGATCACCCAAGATGAGAATGCAGAATGAGAAGAAACAAGAAAAGATGTTCTCTGTTACCATTTCTTTTTAACACTATATTGATGATTCTAGACAGTTCAGTAAGGTAAGAAAAGGATATTAGAGGTATAGGGATTAGAAAGAAGGAAATAAAACAGTCGTTATTTATAGATCATATGATAATTTACATAGAAAACCGAAATTACTCTACAGACACATTATTAGAAAAAATAAGAGAGTTTAGTAAGGTGGCTGGGTATAAGATTAATATGAAAATCAGTTGCATTCCTCCAAACAAGTAAACACTATAAAACAAAATTAAAGAGAAAAAAACATCTACAAAATTATCATAAATTATCAAGTATCTGGGAGGAATCTAACATTAGATGTGAAAGATTTCTAGAGAGAAAATTACAAAACCTTATTAAGAAATGTTAAAGGAGAACCAGGGGTACCTGGGTGGCTCAGTTGGTTAAGCATCCCAGTGTCTGACTCTTGGTTTCAGCTCAGGTCATGATCTCAGGGTCGTGAGTTGAGCCCCAGGGCAGACTCTGCACTCAGCATAGAGTCTGCTTGAGATTCTCTCCCCCCACCCCCCGCCCCCCGGCTCCTCTCCTCACTCACACTAGCTTGTGCACTCTCTCACAAATAAACAAATAAATAAAATCCTTAAAAAAGGAAGGCCCAGATAAGAGAGAAAGGTACCTTGTTTATGGAAAAGACTTAATATCATAAAGGTTTCAATTATTATCTGTAGAGTGGCTTAGTTGTTAAGCGTCTGCCTTCAGCTCAGGTCATGATCCCAGGGTCCTGGGATCGAGCCCCGCATCGGGTTCCCTGCTCAGCGGGAAGCCTGCTTCTCCCTCTCCCACTCCCCCTGATTGAGTTCCCTCTCTCACTGTGTCTCTCTCTGTCAAATAAATGAATAAAATCTTAAAAAAAACCCCAACAACCCAGGGTTTTTCATGGTATTTGATAAAACGATTCCGAAATTCACAAGAAGGGGTAGAGGGCCTAGAGTAGTCAGATTATTTCTGAAAGGCAAGGGCAGGGAGGAAGGATAATCTGGATTGGTATAGGGATAGACGAATAGACCAGAGGAATAGATTAGAGAACCATAGATGAAACCTTGGGGGTGTGACAGATGTGACATATCAGAACAGTAAGAAAAAAAGAGTGATCAATAAATGGAGCTGGAAAAAAATAGTTATCCATTATTCATGGAAAAAGATGACATTGGATTCTTGCCTCATACTATATCAACTCCAAAAAGATTAAAAATTTAAAGATACCTTAAAGAAAATTGGGGGCGCCTGGGTGGCTCAGTCGTTAAGCGTCTGCCTTCGGCTCAGGTCATGATCCCAGGGTTCTGGGATCGAGCCCCACATCGGGCTCCCTGCTCAGCAGGAAGCCTGCTTCTCCCTCTCCCACTCCCCCTGCTTGTGTTCCCTCTCTCGATGTCTCTCTTTCTCTGCCTGTCAAATAAATAAAAAATTTTTTAAAAAGATACCTTAAAGAAAATTGAAAGATAAGTTATAAACTTAGGTAAAATACTCATAATATACAGAACTGCAAAGGAGTAACATTAAAAAATATAAAGAACTACAAATCAATAAGAAAAGTGCACACACACACACACACACACCCCCAGCAGAAAAATGAGAAAAATACATGAACAGAAAAAAATCACCATATGGCCAATAAACTTGTAAAGGCATGTTCAACATTATTAGTGAACAGAGTAATGCAAATCAGAACCATGATGAGATATCATTTTATAGCTCTTTAATTGGGTAAAAATTAAAATGTCTGACAATGCCAAGTAGGTTTGCAAGAACTTTGGAAAAGAGTTCGACATTATCTCCTGAAGTTGCACATGCAATCAATTCAGAAAAGAGTTTAACATTGTCTTCTAAAGTTGAATATTCATATTTCCTATAACCCATCAATTAATTTCCTAGGGGTATATCAAAGAGAAACTGTTGTACATGTACAACAAGATACAAGAATGATCATAGCAGCATTGTTTATAATAGCAAAAACCTGGAAATGACCTAAATGCTCAACATTAGGAGAGTGGGAGGACAAATGGTAACATATTCACATGATATGATATTATCTGCTTTATCCAAAAACAAATGAACCACAGTAAATTGCAACAATATGGATGACTCTAAATATCATGTTAAAGAAAAAAAATAGTTTTCCAAAGGTTACAGTATGATACCCCTTTTAAAAAATAAAGTTAAAACATATGTATATATGTATAAATTTTATACATGTACATCTACATATACATGTTTACATATACATTATATATATAATTTATATTATATATGTACAAATATAATACATATAAATGCAATAAAACTATATACAAAGGAAAGGAATGGAATGAAATTGGGATTCAAAAGGATGCTTATCTCAAGTGGGGAAAGGAAACAAGAAGATGGAATGAGGAGTGGGGAGAAGCATATGGTTAGATGTAGATCCCCATCAAGGTTCCAGTTTTATTTTTTGGATGGTACATTCATGAATGGTTCACACATTATTTGAAATAACTAAATAGAAGTGGCTTAGGCATGGACCAATGATGAGAGGATCATCAATCAAGGATTCTGATGAATCCAATTCTGTGCATCTGGGTCCAATTAGAGAAAAATAATTTTCTTGAACAAATGAATGAA